TATCCACAGCTCAGGATTCCTGCAGGCTTCACTCCTGACCTTTGCAGAAGGAATGCACGCCCGAGCCTGGTGCTGGCCAAAGCCATAGTCCCTCTCCCTTCCTAACGAACGCTGGAGCAGATACCACAGCAGTGCTATTGCTGACACAAAGGTGTTGTTAACAGAGGGCCCAGCGAGTCTCAGCGTCTAAACAGGGACAAAGCCTTCCGTAACACCGTATGCTCAGGATATTTGATCATCATTGATCATGTTTAACAGAAGCCAGGCCTTAAGGAGCTGTCAGTTATATCCTAGCTGAACTGGCACTTGCAGTGCACTTTAGACTTGCTCCAAATCAGCAGCTTCTACACCGTTTCAGCATACAACCCTTCCTCCCTCGATATTGCTGTGGACTCCCACATGATAGGACACGGGCAATGGCTTTAAACTGAAAGAAGGAAGATTTAAGATTAGATGTAAGGAAGAAATTTTTTACACTGAGGGTGGTGAGGCACCGGAACAGGTTGCCCAGAGAAGCTGTGGCTGCCCCATCCCTGGAAGTGTTCGAGGCCAGGTTGGATGAGGCTTTGAGCAACCTGGTGTAGTAGAGGGTGTCCCTGCCCATGGCAGGGGGGTTGGAACTAGATGATCTTTCAGGTCCCTTCCAACCCAAACCATTCTGTGATGAATTTGTACCCGCTGACAACTGCTACCTGCCCTTGGCCATCAGAATTAATTCAGACTCCTACTCACAGGTCTGGAGCCAGAGGTCAAAAATAACTGATTAAACGAGATGTCTCTATAGGCTACAGTTTTAAAGATAACTCTGAAATGACACATGGAGTGCGTATCACCCCAAGTTCTCTGTGCGCTTTCTGATGGCTAAAACAAGAGCAACCAGAGGCACAAGCCATTCTGCTCAGTTGCACCCTGCAACTTCTAGCAAGAAATTGTCGCCCTTTCTGCCAAGAAGGTGGATATATCACTGTACTTGATGCCAGACTAATTTTTCCAGGTAGCTGGGGCATCGGGCATCCACACAGTACAACAACCACTGTCCTCTGGGGCTGGCACAGGAGCATCATGCCCCAGTGACTGTACTGAAGTGGGCTACTGTGGCTTGAAGACCACAGCCATGTCAAACTGCCCTCTATACGAGGAAGGAAATTTGACCTGTGAATCATGATCTGAATGAAGCCATAATCTCTCATGAAAATTACATATATGCTCTGTTCTGGGGGCTGCTTCTTTCTGTTTTAGAAAAGCAAGCAACACCCCCACCTTTTCTCGTTCACTCTTGCTGCTCTCACCTCAAAAGGTGTGACTTGAAACACCCCACGCTGCTTTTAGCGACAGGAAACTGTCTCTATGAAAAGATGCAGAAAGGCCCCATGGAAAACCACAGAACAGGCCCTCTCTGCTGCCTTAACAACATGCACCTCCCGACACAGGTCTTCACAAGTGGAAACCACGCAAGAAGGTTTTCCCTTTGCTACCACTCCTCAGCAAATGACTCCCCATGAGGCACAAGCCCTGAGAAACCAGCTGAGACACTAACCCCAGGAAATGGGGAAACCTAAGCCAAAGGCATTGATGTGCCATATGGAAAGGTAAATCAGTTACGGCCACTCTAAGTTCAACAGGGCTTCACCAATGCACAGGATCCAGGGGAACCTGGCCCATGGTATCTCCTGGCACCACGCAGTAAGGACAAACAGCAGATGGGTATTGCACAGTTTCTCCTTACCTAAAGCAGCATACATCATACTTACAAACTGGGAAGTGAAAACGCTGCACTATTATAAGGAAATCTCTTCTACAACCTTTTAGACTCCAAAGACTAAATACTGAAGAAAAAGTCCATGGTCTATTTGCTAATTGTGAAGTCCCAAGCTACATCACTGACCATTTTTCCGTTCCCTGAACTGAAGGATGAGGCATGGGATCCCCAAGGGAAACCAGGGAGACAAGTCCTCCCTCTGATTTTAGTGGTAAAAGATCAGGCCCAGCAAGAACACCCCACAATAGCTTCATTCTGGTATATTTTAAAATATTTATAAGAAAAGGAAAAGCTTTTCTGAAGCCCAGAAAGATTCATTTCCCCAAACTGCAGTGCTCATGTATGCAGTAAGAAGTTGCAGCAGACAACCTTGGAAAATAAAATCAAAACACACAAAACAGGAATGAAAAATAAAACCTTCTTACTGCCTATTTACTTAACTCTGGCCCGGGCACTGTTCTTAGTCATTTCTCCAGGGCAAACTTTTTTCTGGAGAAGTCAATTCATTTCAGGTCATCAGATATTTTCACAAAGTGTATTACATATCTTAGAATGTCTGGAGAGAAAAAACACACTTTATGGCCCATCTGTAAAATGAACTGGGAGGAGAGAGAATGAAATTTCATTTTAGTAACCTGTGCCAGGCCAGGTTTACAGATCCTGCCCACAAAAGAAGTTTCAAAGCCAGTTCAAACCAGTTGCAGCATTACACTTTCTGAATAAAAAAACCTCATCTTTCAGAAGTGCTCATCATTCACTGCTCAATCAGGTTCAACAGCTCAAGAATGGAGGACGGAACAATGAAAATTAATTTTTGTGTGAACAAATGGGGAGAATGTGCATTTAAAGGGTCTGCTATCAATTCTTCAATGGCTTGTGCGGAATAACATCCCATAACTAAATCTGGATGTGCTGGCAGGCGAAGTTCACAAGCCTTTGGTACAAATCTGACCTAGTGACTGTGATGACCTATCTAACAATTGTGATTTATTTATATCAGAACAATCATATTGGCAAGTTTCCCAATGTAGAAAATCCTTTACACTATTGAAAAAGATGAAAGTTGAGGTATTACTCTGTGCAAAACATTGCTGCTTTCTCTGTGCCACATTTTAGTGCTTGTTTTTTCCCCTCATCTCCGGCAGGGGATTTTCCAGGAGCTGGCAGCGAAACCGTAACTCTGAAGGAAGGAGAGGACCTAAATCTCCACTGCACCCTCGGCAGTGACAACGGTTCTGCCCAGCAGTGGTTAAATCCTCACGGGTTCACCATTTTCCTAAGCAACCTGCGGGGTAAGTGTGAAAACTGAACGCAGCACTTTCCACGTGGGGCTGGACGGTCACTCCAAAGTGGGCTTTCCAAGCTCCCACCCGTGGCCGGTCTGACTCACCTGCGACCCAACCGCTCGAGATGGTTTTACATTCAGCCACTTTCTGGCAGGAAGCTGATGAAACGGAAACCCCTACAAGAGTGGTCTGGCACCGGAGCTTTTAGCAGTGAACTGTAGTTACCATGAGCACCAAGAGATTAGCACAAAAACCCACTCTTGCCTTACGAAAGAGACAGGAGTGCGTGTGCCTGAAAGCCCTGGCTACTCTTCTGCTCACTGGGGAATTCGATGCAGTGCATCAAGAGGAAATTTTTAGAAAACAAGCAGTGATCACTAACACATGCTGACAAAGCCAAAGTTACAATAATTGTGTTCCCTTCCACTCCCTACGCCTCATGTCTCTCTGTCCTTATTTCTCCTCCTGTTGGTACAAATTCAACAGCTCTGCAAGATGAGGATGACCTTGGTCTTCCCCATTTGTACAGTAGCTAGTCAGCACCTCTGCTTGTTAAAGCTTTTAACGATAATAATGACCAGGATTTATCCAAATGACACTGGGTACCCAACTTCCATTACCCTGGAACTGAGGGTCCACTTCAGTTGCTCTGGGAATCTCAGCCACCAGGTCTTGCCACCACATCAAACCATCCTACCAATATTTCCCACCAGTATTGCCAATATTTCTAAATTGAAAGTGTCATGAGTAACTGTTGCTCCTATTTACTCGGTTACAAGAGCAAGTGGGATGAGCGTTCATTAGCAAATTTAAATGACTCACACATGTATGTATTGGGAACTGTTTCCTGTGGAATCCAGGATCTCGAGTTCAGTACTCTCAGTGTAACACATATGAGCCGTTAGATTCAAACGGGATCCAAAAAAACCTCAGTGCTGAGCCACCGACAGCTCATGAATATGGGAAACAGGGCTACTGCAACCCACCCTGTGCAGCTTTGACATCCAGGCTTCCAAAAACCACAGCAGGCTATGGCAGGGATTCCTCTCTCCTGTTGCAGTCTTCTAGTCCAACTATGCACCCAAGAACTGCAAGATCTAGGAGGAAATCACCTCTCCATCAAACATCTCTGGTTTTGACATATATCTATGTCCTCAGTGTTTTACACTGCAGAGGTAGATGACAGCAGCAAGACTCCCTTCGTTTATGCGAGTTCTCTGCAGTATCCCCATCTTTTCATGGCTCTAGCCCTTTTGATGTTTAAAGTTTTGTGGAGTTGACACAGCAATTTAATCAGGTT